GAAAGACCCCCCCCCTCTCTCAGAGGCGCCCCCCCCCCCCCACTAGCTAAAGAGAAAATTTTAAAAGCCATTATTAAATTGACTTTTTACAGTTATTTTAATGATCAGGAATTCTTCTGGAGAAGACGGACCTCATCCCAAGAAACAAGGAGTTTTCAGCAGGACTGTGCAGGGCGAGATCCCTGCAGAATCCTCAGTGGAAAAAATTATCCTGGTGTTACTGTGGACATTGCCATGCCTTTTCTGCAGTGCTTGAAAAAAAAGAAGTCACCTGTGCCTTTACGCAGGAGTATCTTTCAAAAACACACCCCACCCATCCAGCAGAACTACCAGGCCTTGCTGGAGACGTGCTTGAAGAACAAATGCCTGTTCACAGATGACAACTTCCCTGCTCACATCAGCTCTATTGGAACGGGAGCACTGCTAAAGAAACTACCCCAAAATTTACAGTGGAAGAGGCCACATGTAAGTGACTTCCAGTGAAAAATCTCATGTAAGCGGATGATTACAGCTGATAGCCAGCAAATAGTGTTAGCATTGAGCAGACTACTCTTAGACTTTAATTTAGGTGTGCCTTAATGCCTCCAGAGATTACACTTATTGTATCAGCTGTCACTTTGGAAGCTGGGGTACATGGAGTTTCCTGATTGCCTTTGAAGCATTTGTTGCCCAAAATCATAACCAGCCTCGTTCAGTTTATACCCAGTAATGCTCAGAGCAGGCAGGGAGAGCAGGTGAAGGGAGCAGGGGGAGCTGGTATCCTTGAAGCTCACAGCTCTGATGATCCCACCATGATTCCGTGATGACAGTTCTCATGGTGATGATCCCTCTCCCCACAATTCAAGATCTTGACCTTTTAGAAGATTTCCAAGTTTCTAGACAGTCCTTAGCCTTTGACCCCTCTCCCATAGGCAACATACCATCGTGATGCTGGAGGCTGCTACTTTCACCAGCAGTGGCAGGTGCTTTATCCTCTTGCTGGGCTGTTTGTTTCCTGCTTAACTGTTTAGTCTATTCTTTATTGTACTTAGAGCAGTCTTTTCACAGCTCTCAAGGTTGAGCTTCTGCCACGATCAGTAATTGACCATCAATCAATGAGTTGTTTTTAGTTCTGGGACCTCTATTTGCTACTTGTGCCCATATTTCCAAGGCCTTTGCTGGTATCCCATGCTTAAACTGAACATCACAACAAGAGCCACCTGGTACCGAGCCCTGGTCACAGAGCAAGTTCTCATAACAAAAGGATAAAAAGTCTAGGAGGCCAGGACAGGGGACTGGCACAGTTAGATAAGGCCTGTTAGCTCTGGCCTGTTACTTGCAATGGCAGTTTTGTTCTTACTGAGCCACTGAGCAACATACTGACAATCAGATCTTCCTGAAAGCAATGTATAGAATTATCTGAGAATTTCAGTAGCACTGACTCCTTATGTTACCGTGTCTGTAAGGGAATTCTGCTATTACCTGTATCTCCTAGCTAAGTTATTTTCTAGCTGTCATATCTTGTCAGATTTAACCAGTTTCTTAGAAGGGCTGAGTTTTTGCAAAACTCATGAAAATCGCTGGGAAAGTAAAGGCACCTTTGCAAATTGTGCAGGAGAGCTTGGGAATAGCAGCCCTGGTTCTCAGAGTTTCAAATGCAATTTGGTCTCTCAGATGGTTTGTGTTAAGTCAGGATCTGCAGACGGAGGGAGTGCAGCCCTCAGGGGCCTGAGCTGGGTTGTGCCGGGCACTGCGGCTGAGGCAGCTACATCAGCATAGAGGTATTTGAGGAGGGAAAGGTCAACGTGAGTCCTGGCCTCTACAAAGCCCTTCAGGTGTCCCTCCACCCCAGAGACATTGGAATGGACTTCAAACCTCCTCTGTCTTCTCAGTCCACCGTTCTGCTCCTCTAAAACTGCCTCATGAAGGCGGCTGCCATTTGCTCTGAATGCCAAACTTAGGCCAGCAAAGGCTCTCCGAGGATGGATGCTGTGCATCCTTTAGTCCCAGTGCTGCAGAGGAAACTGAGATTCTGCCATTCAGCCTCCAGGCTTGTAGCTTGCTGCATCTATGACTGATGGCCTGCAAACTGAACACCCAAATTCACCAAGGATAGGGGTTGGTGTGTAATTACTGTAACTGCCTTCTGGGGGTTTGCTGTTTCTCTGCTACTGCCTGAAGGGGAAGCCAACAGTGTGAAAATTAGCTTGAGCAATTTGTGGGTCATTAGAGTGAAACATAAGTTTGACACTTAGGTTATTAATTTGACCCCAGAGGCACTTGTGAGAGGAAAAAATAACAACATAATTTCTCTCTGAACGATTATTCATAGACCCATTCTTGTCACAGCAACAGGAACTTCTGTAGCAGCCATCAGTTAGTCTGTAGCTCGATTGTCAGTCAAATTGTGGAGACATCAGCCAGGTTAGCTGAAAGTTTGAACAGTTATGCTCTGCCATTGTAGCCTCTTTTGGCTGAAAGTTGTCCGTAATTATGGAGGAGCAGGGCTGGCAGCTCTGAAGGGTTGTCTTCGCAGCGAGGTGTTTGTGGACACCCATGGTGATGCATCTGAGCACCAGTGGCTTATGTTGGAGACCAAATTCAATGTAGACCAAGCACAAATGCGTGCCCAGGCTTGTGTCAGGTTAGCCAGAGCACATGATAACACTAGAGTTATACCTGAACCAGAACAATGTCTTCCGGGACAAAGGGACTCAAGTATTTTGAAAGCTTTGAACAGGCAGAGGGAGTGTTTTGTGTCACATATCCATGAGGTTTTTACATCCTAGACTAGGAACTCACTGGATTTCCGATCTTACAAGATTGCAGCTCTGCACACAGAAAGTCCTTGACTTCAAGCTAAACCAGCTCCTATTACTGACTTGACTCTCTCCCTCTTTTCTTTTTGGTTGTGTGCTTCCCAGGCTTTGCACAGAAGTCCAGTATTTTATGCTGCAAACAGAAAGCAACTTGATCTCTGCCAAGGATTGGTGGGTAAGGAAACTCCTTTGTATAAATGTCTAAGTATTCTTATACAAGTTAACGTTCTGAGTGGAATTTTGACTGTATAAAACTTGGCATAGGAATAGAAGGTGCGCATATCCTTATCTCTTCACTTGGCAAGGTGTGGATGAAGCAATCATTAAGATGGGATAGGCTCAGTAAAAAACTTGGCAAGCTTCAAGGTGGGATTTGACGGGTGACAGGTGTCTCCACCAGCTGAAATCATCATTCTCTGTGTTGCTTCTGTGCATGCTAGTACTGCAATAGGGAGTGATCCTGTGCTCTTACTGGTCTGTAATGTTGCTGCTTGACAATTGAACAGAGACCACAGAAGCAGGAAAATCTGAGACTTCTACTATCCTTGTATCTAAGGCTTAGTGTGAGTGTGTTCTCTTCCCAGCTTTGCAGTTAGAAAAATCATTTTTATGCCCGTGTTACCTAAAGTAAAAGGATATATTGTCATCTGCAAAACAGGTAGGGGTGGTACTAAATTAATTTTTAAGTGCTTTAAGCCCTTAAACACAAAGTCTGATAAGTACAGTCTTGCATGTGAGACCCATTGGAAATGATTTTTCTCTTCTGAAAAATTAATGTTTTCAAAGAAAAGGGGAAAAGTTTTTTTTTAATAGTGTGCCTTTACAGAGAACAGAAAAAAAACAGGCAATGTCAGTAAAAAACAGGAATGTTTCCATTGAGAGCTATTTCTTGCTAAATTTCTTATTTAACCAAACAGTATCCAAATGAAAAACTCATGAGAGAACAATTATAAACCAATTGTGGTTTGGTTAAATACAGCACACGTCTGGATCATCTCATTTTCTGTGTATGATTTGTTATAATTGTAAAGACATCAGCACAACAGCTCTTCTGCTAGGATCTTGGTGGTGTTCCTGAACTTGGCTGACAATTCTTGCTTTTCAGCCAACTGCATGTGTCCGTTTGTCTTGGCGCAGAGAACTGCTGGTTCCTGGCGGCCGTGGAAGCCCTGACGTTCCACCAGGACATCTTGGCTGCAGTCGTGCCACAAAATCAGAGCTTTGAGAGGAAATATGCCGGCATTTTCCACTTCCGGGTACATCTGCTCCCCCAGAGTATGGGGAGGTCTTCAGAAATCCTCTGTCACGTTTTGTGTCACACCCTTAGATAATTTGTACGTGGTTCCCCTTGGCCAGGGGCAAGTGGCCAGAGGGTATCCCGGCCTGGAGGGTAGCCCATCACCCCTCCCACGAAGCAGTGCAGGCAGTGGACCCACTACAAGCCAGTCTGAGGATATACCTCCGCTTGGCCCTTCTCTCCAGCTGTGCCCTACCCATATTTCAATCCAGACAAAAGTCCTCCTACGTAGTAGCAACAGTCAGCAGGGCTTGAGCACATCTGCTCCAACCTTCTACCCCTTTGCCCAGCTCTTGCTGCAACTCTGCTACCTTGTAATTAGGAACTCCTTCCCCAGAAGCCCAACTGTGCCAAATTTCTCTGCTTAATCCTTTTACACCTGATACAGGCTTTGTTTTCTCCTCTGGCAGGGTGGGGCTGAGGAATTGGCTCTGTGGGTGAGTCAGCACATCTCACTGACCCCAAGCAGCCCCCCCCCAAGGCGGCTCATCCTGTGCCCACAGCTACGTTATCTTGCCTTTCCTGTTGTTCCAAGGGGAGGTCCCTTCCAAGGGAAACAGCAGCTCATTCTTTTCCTCTGACAGTTTTGGCACTTCGGTAAATGGGTTGACGTGGTGGTTGATGATCGCCTGCCGGTGAACGAGGCGGGGGAGCTGGTCTTTGTTTCCTCAGTCTATAAGAACGTGTTCTGGGGAGCCCTTCTGGAGAAGGCATATGCTAAGTAAGTGACTCATTCCAAGTTATGCAAATAGTCTCTCTAAAATATGTTGGTTGGTGCCTACGCAGTTTGTTCTTGTTTATAAATGCATCTCCTAGGCCTTGCCACATTTGGAGTGTAGTAAATGGTTCTCATCTTTCTATTATCATACAATAAAAGCTGCCACTGCAGTAGCTGTTATCAATCCAGGCCCTTGAGTTTAAATCCAAGGGTTTAGGAGTAGGCGTGAAAACAGACCTGTTCTGGGGGGGTTGTCCTCTGAGTGTTATCGCTGTTTGGAGTGTATTGGCTAGGATGAGACCTTCCTTGTAAATACTGCAGAGGAGCGGAAGGCCACAGATAGGGGTTTTCAAAGGTGAATGATTTCTGATGCCTCCTTTGATGTATTATCGGTTTGAAAAACCTCCAAGGAGTTTCGTTTTGGGGGTCTGCTGAAGCATTGTACTTTGGTTTTGGTAGAAGTTCCCACTCTGGGGTCCCCTAAAGCAGAGGCATTCAACAAGTCGCATGGCACGGTGAGAATGCTGGCTTCTCTCCAGGGTGTTTTGTCTAGAGTGGTTTATCAGGACTAAGAGAATGTAACAAGGCATAACTGATGGAGTTTGTTAATATTGTGCTGAAATAATCTCTGCAGAGCAAGGAAAAATCGTAGTTAACATTGAGAGAAAGATCACAGCAAAGGAGAGAAAGTTCAGTTATTTTCATTTGGTGTTAGCGTTAGAACAAAAAGACTGGAGAAAGTTGCACTGCAATGGTAAAGAAAATCACATTGGAGACTGAGCTCTCAAGACAGTGTGCCCCTCAAGGCACTATATCTTAGATACAGCACAGTGTCTGGTGATAAATTCAGGCAACATTCACTAAGGCAGAGTTATCAAAGAAGTAGTGATGGGCATATTCTCACTACTGTGCAGTGAGGGATGACAGTGAGTGAAGAGTCCCTTTCAGACTATGGCCAACCTTGGAGGCAATTTGCTAGATTCCCCACTTCCTAAATGCCAAAGATTCCCCTAAAATTAAACATGAATTACAGCCTTCCTTTTGCTTTTGCAAACCTTTATTGTATGTTTTCATTGGCACGCTGTTCTCAATCTATCACCTGTGACTATAACACCAAGAATATATTGATGTCTTTTTTGCTAGACTCTACGGCTCCTATGAAGATCTGCAGATTGGGCAAGTTTCAGAAGCTTTGGTGGATTTTACAGGTGGTGTTAATATAAGGATCAAGCTTGCAGCAGCTCCTCCTGATCTGTGGGATATCATGACAAGAGCAACCTACACCAGATCTCTCATGGGCTGTCAGACACATTTAGGGGTGAGACTTGGAGTGACATCAAATGGCTTCACAGCTAAAAGCCTTTCCAGACCTGTTTCCCTTTGCTCAGCTAGTCATTGTGACTCAAAAAGTATCAAAGCTGCCACACGTGACTCTCTGTAGAAATCACATTCTTAATGTTAAACTTTGCATATGGATTGATTCCCTGCTGCTGTCAGCTCCCTGTTGTTATGTTTAGGAACTGGTTTATCTATCAAAGAACCTCTATTAAATAAGGACCTACTGCATTTTCCCATTTTTGTTAAATAAATTTTCCATTTTTACAGATGGTGCAGTGAGGCACAGAGACTCATGGAATAAGCTTATAGCTAAGATAGAGAGGTGTGTAGTTCAGAACATGAATTCAAATGTTGGCTTCTAAGCCTTATGCTGACACTTCAGCTGTTGGGAAACCCTACTCTTCTGAAAATCAAAACCTAACCTCCTGGACTTTTAAAGAGTGAGATGATGTCTAGCCAAAGATCCACAATTTAGGAAGGGACCTTCCCAATCAACCTTCCAATTCCAAGCATACTACAAAATATGGCTGTTAGGAGCTTAGACTTAATTTTTTAATTTCAGTTCAAACCATTCTCCATTTGCTTTGAGAGTCATTGCTTACACAGGTACAGGTCCCTGCTATTGGTATGAGTCCGCTGTATAAGTAGGGATAGAATAAAAGGTTTCTTTTCCTTCTGTTTCTCTTCCTTGTATACAGGCAACAAAGGTCTTGAGGAATGGGCTTGTTGCTGGCCATGCCTACACAGTAACTGGTATTAGAAAAAATATGGCTTAGGAGCTTAGACTTAATTTTTTAATTTCAGTTCAAACCATTCTCCATTTGCTTTGAGAGTCATTGCTTACACAGGTACAGGTCCCTGCTATTGGTATGAGTCCGCTGTATAAGTAGGGATAGAATAAAAGGTTTCTTTTCCTTCTGTTTCTCTTCCTTGTATACAGGCAACAAAGGTCTTGAGGAATGGGCTTGTTGCTGGCCATGCCTACACAGTAACTGGTATTAGAAAGGTAAGACTAGCCCTAATGTCCTGGGACCAGGTTTGTTTGGATGTCAGCAATTTTTATAGCAGTCATAGGTTCAACCATCAATCAGGGCAACTATGTTATCTCCTCCCCCAATGCTCTTCTCTTAGCCTAAGGCTAAAAGAGACTCTGTGCTTTGTAAAGATTCACTTTCAAGTGTCCATTTTAGTATTGTGACCTTGATGTAAAGGACAATGGTTATAGATCAGCCTATCTCTAAAGGTGGGAATGATTCGTAGGGCTCTGCTGAGAGCATCACCTACAAATGCATCTTAGCTGTTAAAGACGAAAGGACTGGCCTTTGGGGATGCTGGGAGGATGTGCTGAAACCTACTTGGCATAAAAAGCCTTCCTCTGAAGTCAGAGGAGAGGCTATAGAGAGGTAAAGATAATGGAATACAAGGGCCAAAACATGAAAAACCACAGATGGAAATGTGAGTCAAGGCTAAAGTAAGGGAACCAAACTGGGCTCCTGTGCAGAGAGTGCAGGTGGATCTGCAGAAGTATCATTGGGAGTCCCCTAAAGATATTTGTCTAGAGGTAAGGGACAGTAAAATAATAGGTCCCAAAGAGTGGGAGAAAGGTCGAGCTTTCTCTTCCTGGACTGACGGATGACTATCTTGTCCAGCCTCAAAAGGAGGTTGACAAGGATGGCAAAGGACTTTGTGGGGCTTTGGACATGTGATATAGATGTGTGTGAGAGCACGTTCAGTACCTCTAGCAAGAGATACTAGGAAAGCTGGAAGAGATACTGTGAGCTGGATGATGCACGCCTGTGTCTCCCACACGCAGCAGGAGGGTTTTGGGTATGGACTTTATCAGTGACATGTCTGTCAGTCTGGCTCCTCTGATGGGATGAAGAGCCAGGCAGGAGTAAGGGATTGACCGAGCATGTGGAGCCGATGTGAAGTCGGCCGTTCTGCTGTATGCTGCCAAAGCCCCTAGTTGGCCTGACTGCCTTTTCTCCCACCATGGCATCCTAGTGCCGTAGAGGCGCTAATCTATGTGGTCACCCCATGGGCTGTATTGTGCTGTGCCATTGCACTGGGTAGGACTTAGCTTTCACAGTAGTACAATCCTGGCCCCACATAAGCACAAAATGAGCAGATGTTGGAAAGGAAGAGGAATTTACGGTCAAGCCTCCAAATTAGGCATCTATGAGGTCTCTGGTTTCAGTTATAGAAGGTAAGATAAAGCATCTTAATCTCTTTGTGCCTGCATTCAGAGTTGCGTGTTCATAGATTTTTATCATCGTACTTGCTGTCATCTATGAGAACAAACAAAATCTTTGTTAATATCTGACATAGTGCAGTGGTATAAACCAGATGAGAACTGCTGAGACCTTGGTAAGCACAGTGTTACTGTTTTTTGCAGGTGACCTGTCAATATGGACCAGAAAACCTAGTGAGACTGAGAAATCCATGGGGAAAAATTGAATGGAAAGGAGACTGGAGTGACAGGTGAGTTTAAAAAAGGGAAGGTCTGATGCTGAGTGGGAGGAAAGGTTTCGTGGAGGAAAGATGCTGCCATCTTCAGGCATGAATTAGTGCTGAGAGCAGCATTAAGATAAGTAACAGTTGCTTGCACAGACCCTCTCATGTCAAAGCGATGACTCGATAGATTTGTATTTCTCCAGCAGATAGTGCTCACGTAGTGGGGCTCGCTTCACACATGCAGCTTCAACAAGCTCAGTTCTGCTTTTCCATTCACTGAATGCCAGAGGAAACATAATATAAACGTCAGGCGCTGACCATGTTGCTGTGATCTGGATGGCATTCAAAGTGACAGATAGCTGTGCAGGGGGCTCTAAACAAACAGCATGTTTCAGGGCACACAGCCCTTTATCACAGGAGGGACCGTGCAGTGTCCTCCACAGGCTGCAAAGTGTTGGAGTTGGGTAGCTGTGAAGGAGTCCTCCGTCCTGGCTGTTTGGGGAAATACAATTGGGTATGAGATCAGAGGAAGCAACTAGTGAGGCAAATGGGTCCTGTATTTACATCTGCCTGAATTTTTTGATTGGGATCCGTGAAAGACAGTGATTTGCATTCTAGACTGCAGGCAACTGTAGACTTGTGTCCTGTTCCTCTTTGAAGCGGAGCATGTTCCTTCCTTCCAAGCTTCACTTCATTCCCTGCACAGACTCTGTTTGCTGAAGCTCGGGAACAGGGAGGAGGGAAGAGCACAGGGAGGTGTTGGGTATGTGAGTGACTTTCACCTTGTCTGCAGAGCAGTAACTTCTCTGATGTGTGTCTGTCACATAATGACAACATACCAGCTGTTCCTGTTGAAAAGCATAATGAGCAGCATACTGTAGGCCTGCCTTTTAAACAACTCCCAGCTGCCTCTTGCGCTGTCCTAGTCATTCATTCATTATGCCAAACACTCTTCCTATTATGTCTCCTTTGACAGAAAATTAACCAACAAAACAGGTCTGGATTTTTATATTTTAAGTACTTGGAAGCTGTGTGTGCAAGTGAATGGACTGGCTGATGGAAATGGAGCATTTCTGGCTTCTGCTGGAGAACACTGGGGCTGTTCAGCTACATCTCATGGGACCGAGAGTGCTTGTGGAGAGTCTCCCATGGGTGAAGGCATAGGGGGCCTGTGTTTAGTGGGGGATAAATGTGGAGATATGTGGGGACAGGGATTTGGCCTCTTTTTATAGGGGAAAGCGATGTACTCTGCCTTGAATTTGAGGCCACATTTGGTTAGTCACCTCATGTTTTTGCCCTCAGTTCTTACAAATGGGAGCTGCTGAGCCCGAAAGAGAAGATTTTGCTGAGGAAAAAGAAGGAGGATGGAGAATTCTGGTAATGGCACAGTCTCACCTCTCCCCTCTCTGCCAGTAGCTCTGGGTCTGTGTCTAGAGATGAAGCAGCACGTTGCCGCTTAGGTCAAGGCATATGTGATCTGCTTTGTAACAGCCCATGCTTGCTTTCTTGCTCTCCTCCTCTGCTTGACGATGTGAGAAGCAGTAGCTGTGCTGACACGGAAGAGGTGCACTGTTCTTCAATGGCAGGAGTGAGGGAGAAGCAGGACACTGCCACGTCTCCCAGGGCTGCTGGAGACATGGGCAGCTTTCAGGAGCTTTTGTCCTGCCTTTTATTTTTAAGATAGCTTTGGGAAGCTCTTGCTTGCCTTGTTTGTTAGTGATTCTCCACAGCTTCTGCCACAAGGTGGCAATGTTGTCGCCCGTGTCATTTCACTGCAGTCCCTTGGTGGCAATATTATTTTAATCTCTGTGCTGCTATCCTTTGCTGAAATTTTAGTCATGCATTTGCTACTGCTAGATGCTGCTGTTGGAGCAGACGCTGTCTTCCTTACTGCCTAGTAAAATATGAGCATTACCATATGTAACACAGAATGGTGTGGCTTCGAAGTTCCCTGCTCCCTTTTCTTTTCTTTTTATAAGCCATATGGACTAAACTAAACTGCTGACAAGACGTCTCTTGGCACTCTTTTCCCAGGATGTCTCTGCGAGATTTCAAGATTCATTTTGTAGATCTGACGATCTGTAAATTAACTCCAGACCTGATGAGCCAGGAAGATGGGAAGAAGTGGATGTACTCCCTGAAGAGTGGGAGATGGGTTAAAGGAAGTACAGCAGGAGGAAGTCTGGGATTCTGTAATGGTGAGGGGTGCTCTTTTGGATGACTCTGGGGTACCATTGCTCTGCTGACTCAGTTACCAGCACCTTATACCTGTTAACAAAAAATTGACAACAGAGACATGGTCTTCCTGCTTAACCCTCAACACATACATCAGAAATAAGCAGCTGAAGGACTTTGACTAGCTTCTGCTATGACAGAAGCTGCATCACTTGCAAACACAGGGCAGTGGGCTGCTTATGGCATGAAATGAGCTGCAGGATCCTAGGATCAATTGCCAGCACTGAGCTGCTTTGGGGCATTAAACTTGTCTGTTAAAATTTGCATCCTCAGCACCTCCAGGGAGTGGTATTTTAAGTAAAATGAATGGGAAACATAGAGGTTCAGCCCTTCTGGAAGCAGAGCAGGTGGGGTCTGAAGTCTGCTAGCTCATACACCAGAGCTGATAGGGGAATAGTGATACATTTATAAACAAAATGAGCTTTTAGTTGCAGGTGAGCAGAAATGTAGTTCCTTGTTCCTGGGCCTTCCTCTTGTCTTACATAGTGGTTGCACAGCTAAACTTGTAAGCTGGACCCTAAGATCAAATCCCTGTGGGGTGTGGAGGTCCAGACAACCTGTGATCTATTCAGTCTGATGCCAGGCATCATGTGGGAAGCTGGCAACAAATTTTGTGATGGAAAATGAGATCAAAATGTTTTTCTTGTTTTGCTTAGGCACCTTTTGGATGAACCCTCAGTACTGGCTGAATGTTTTACCAGTTGGAGACAGTAAGAAAAGCCTGGGTTCCTGCAATGTGGTTATATCCCTGATGCAGAAACACAGCAGCAAACACCGGAACCGAGCTCCTCACCTCTTCATTGGATTTTCAGTCTACAAGGTGCGAAGAATTGCTTTGCCTTTCTTGCTTTCACCAAATAGGAAAACTTCCAGCCCCTGTAAATTGTAGAGCTTTGCAGACCAAGAGTTTTGTTGCACGCAGGGTGATCTGTTCTCTTTTTTCCTTGCCTGTGCTCAGTCTCCTCACACATCAGGGCTAGGCTCTCTCAGGCTCTGTGCCCCACTTGCTGCCTTTCCGACATGCTGTGTGTCAGCCTGCAGAGCAGTGAGAAATGCCTCTTGCTTCAGAGCACACTGGGCTTTATTTTACCTTCTCTGAGAGTACGTGCAAGAGCTGGGGGAGGGTGCCAGGAGTCACCTTGCTTTGGGGCAGGGAGAGCACTGCCCTCAGGTTATTTCCAACCATGGTAAAATTGTGCTTGAGAAGTGTTCCTAGTATGACATGGCAGCTGCCCATGTGTGAATACTGCTAGTTCCCTGTGTAGCCAGGGGTAAGTGGATATCACTAGAAGGGGTGAGAGTTTCCCCCCTCAATTGTCTGCTTGTCTGAGTGCCATGCAGAGCCACTCTCCTCCCTTGAACAGAGCCACAGCTCTTGTTGCAACTGTAAGTTTGCACAGTTACGGAGGGATGGTTGTGGGGAAGGGTTTTCAGGTGGAGGGGCTGAGGTTTCTGAAAGCGAAGACCCCAGCTGAACGTATGTAGCAGCTTCCCAGCAATGATATGGCTACGTTGTGTGAGACCCAGAGGTCCCTGTCTGACAGATGGTCTGTTTCGTTTCTTCCTGCAGGTGGACCTACAGGTGAGTCCCTTGTCACTGCTGCTGGCTGTTTGCTGGGGGAACCTGGGCTGGTGCAGCTGTTACGACAACACTGAAGATGTTGTGTTTGCCTTTGTTCCTTGGCTGACAGCTAGTAACTGTATTTGAGTTCAGTGAGGCACCACAGTAAGTCACTATCAGTGCAGAGCTATCTACTGACTCTTCTGAAGAGCAGCCATATCAGGAGGTCTCAGTGGCCTTAAAAAGGGGCATTAGTTGTTCAGCTTCTGCACTGGGTCTTCAAAGGTATTAGAAGTGGCATCAGTGTTTACCCATTCAGCACTTTGTCCCTCCTGCAATTGCGGGATGGTGTCCCAATTCTTGGCTGCGTCTGAGCTGGACTCGCTGCAGCTCTCAGGGGAGCCAGAGCCACCTTTCTGCTGCCTCCCAGTCTGGGAATGAGGTAGGAACAGAGCCTGTGTCCCATGCAAGTCAGGGGTCTCCTAGGGAGCGCAGGTTCCTTCCTGGCTGGGATGCTCTGGAGCTGATGTTACAGGTGTTTTTGGCTTCCTTGGGCCAGCTGTATTTCTAGCATTTTCTTTAGCCAGGAGCCTTTGGAACCTCAGGAAGGGCCCTGGAAGTTAAACCCTGATGTATGTCCCAATTTTGGCCCTGACCTTAGAGGGCTGTTTAAAACAGGGAAAGGTTTAGCTCCTTTTATCTTGAAAGGGCATATCTTCCACTCCGTTACTACTCAGAACACCTCTTAAATGAGAGTCCCTTTGAATTTGGGCTCACAAAGAATTAGTTTGGATGTATGGTCAGGGCAGCACAATTGTGTTCCCAGTTACTGTATTTCCAGCATGATAACCATGAGGTAAGATGCCACTCCTTCCTGACTTAAATATTTTGGGCACTATCAGGGTTACAAATGAGTTAAACTTCCTGGCAGAGGGGGTCTGAGTGTGGCTCTAGCACACTGCTGTGCTGCACCCGAGGGGGAATGGTGGCAGCCAGGACTTCAATTTCAGGTTTGTAGCGGTTGCCAAGATCAATACAGAGAGATGGCAAGCCAAGGAGCATCTAAGGTATTGGAACTACAGTCAACAAAGTATCAACTGGAATACAAAAACTTTAAATTTAACATAAGGGGCATGAGAAGGAGTAACCCCAAACCCTTCAGAAAAAAGATTGCTCTATTAGTAAGAAAAATACTGGCAAAGGAAGAGGAATAGCATCTCCACTACGAGGCTGCAGAGTAAAATGGCTAAATGTTTTGAGGAACAGCCAAGATCAGAAGGTGACAGTGGTCTTAGCTAGCAGGATTATTTATTTGGCTTGTGTACTGGGCACTCAGTGGCATTAAAAATGAGTTCAGCGTTGCCTGCATCAACACTTTATCCATTCTCCTATTGCAGAAAAGTGCCTGTAGAGCGAAACATCTGTAAGAGCCAAGAGTGCCAGGCAGATCTAGGACACATGGATGGAGTCAGGGCTAGGGATTAGGTTGCTCCTGCAGTATGCTCAGATCACAGGTGCTCTGAAAAATCCTCTACTGCCAGATCCCTAGTACATGGTACCTATGGGATAGGAGGGATGTTCTGGCTAGTGAAGAGCCGTCTCTAGAGCAGTTCCTGCCTGCAGTCATTTCTGCCAGTATAGAAATGACTTCTGCAGTAGCTTAGGTTGACAGAAGCCACTTCTCTTCCCAGTGCTTGCTGCTGTTCCTTGCAAGTACTATTATATTGTTGATAATGTTGCAGGAAGCCCTGTTCTTTGTCATTTTAGTATTGGGCAGGCGTGGTGCATGATGAGAACCACCATGTCCTGGGAGGAGACTGAGTCCTTTGGGCCCTGTTATCTGCTTGTGCTGTAAAAAAATCTGAGGTGTGAAGGCAGGCTGTCTATGCCATGCCTGTGAATTCTCCCTGTGCCTTTTGTCCGTTTTTTCAGCTGGTGCAGAACACATTTCTCTTCTGTTTCTTCCCTTAACAGTACCAGGAAAGCAACAGAAAGCTGGCCCCAGCTTTCTTCACTCGACATCAGCCTGTGAACAAGCACCAGGTCTTCCTTGATGAGCGGGAAGTGACCCATGACTTCCACCTGGAGCCTGGTGTCTATGTGATTGTCCCATCCACCCTGGAGCCTCAGCAGGAGTCTGAATTCATCCTGCGGGTCTTCTCCAGGAAGCATGTTCTTCGGTGAGATGCTGCCGCCTCTCTGCCAGCACCTAATTCTCTGGCATGGTGGGATGGTCTGGTCTTTCTAGTCTAATGGGGCAGCATAAAGACTTCACCATGCAAAAGGCAGCACAATCTCTTTTGGAGAGGCTGGCTGTGGGTCTCTCCCAGCACAGGATGCTCAGTGGATGAAGCACTGCTTTTGGCCTTATCCTTTCAAGAAGCGTTGACCTAGGCCCACACAAGGGATTCCTGCAGCATGCTCATCTTTGAGACTGGAGAAGGACAACAGTTTTTAATGCACCATCAGTTTGCCAGGAGACACTGCTGGCAGTGCTAGGGTGGTTGCTTGTGCAGAAATCGTGCTTTGGAGACTTCAAATGCCAGCAGCCCCTGGGGAGCTGTGTGGACATGAGGGGTTCCCTTACTGCAGCTGTAACACTGGGGAAAAATACATATGCTGCAACAGTGGGTTGGGGCCCCTTCTGGGGATGGGGGATGCCACCTGTGATGAGACAAACACACAACTCTGGGATATCTCCTTAATGTGTCTGCTTTTTTACATCTCCAGGGAAATGGGTGGGAACACCAGTTTCACCCTCTCTAAGGTGAGTGAGTATGAGGGGAGTGGGAGGCCTGTGGTTTGGTCTTCAGCTCCAGGTGTTGGGTTTTTCCTGTTGCTCTGCCCTACAGAGAGGCTGAATGAGAATCTGAGTGCTTGTGTTGCAGCACTTTTGAAAGGGCAGCTTGTGTTTACAGGCAGAGTCCCTTGGACCATGTGGACAGATGCAGTCAAATGTGGGGGACGGGCAAATTTTTAGATGCCTTTGTTAGTTGCCTTTTTGCAAACTTCTTTTAGTGTGCCCCAAGAGCATCTTATGTGCTCTGCAGTCTTTCCTATTCATGGCTTTTGGAGACTTCTGATCCATTCACGCACTTCTCCCTGCTCCTTTTATGCCTTGAAAGTTTTGAAGACATCGTGGGACATGAGCAGTACTGTTCCCATGCAGCAGTCTATAGGTTATTTTCAAAATAACTGAGCTCAAGGGCAGTGCATGCACGTCTGCAACTTGTGCAAGGGAGTTTATAGCATAGTCTGTTCCCCTGGCATAAACAGGGCCCTTCCTTCTTTCATCTCCTCTGTTCTCCTGTATAAAGGAGGACAGAGATCCTTCTCTCTCTTCTTGGCATGGAGTGAGCCCCATCCTTTGTCGTTGCACAGCTTGGTGGGAGGGAAATGTTTCTCCTCACTGAGTGTTATCTGAGTATTTCTTTCAAAGAAATAGCATCTCTATGAGGTGGGGAGCTATCTTAGCAGCGGGCTGCGTTAGTGATGTAGCATTGATTGCAGTGATGGGGAGAAGGTAGAAGGGCAGGGGATGAGAGTGCAGTTCTGGGAAACATCTTTAGTAACTCTGTCTTGGATGGCAATATTTTTCTTCCTCGAGTTAATGATTTTTTTTTTTTTTTTAATATCTTAAAGGAAATTGTTGATAGGTATGAAGGCAAGATTTGGGAGGATTTCTTCACAAAGCGTTTTGAACAGGTACGTGTGTGCATGAGCTGCCAGGGTAAGCTCCTCCAGAGCTCTTATGTAGCCCTGAAAGTAAAAGCATGTGGATGTTCAAGGGGGGTCTGGACGTGGAAGCGCGGGGAACAGAGAGGGGCCACAGGAGGTTGGGCTGTGTGTACAGTGCTGATTCCATGCAGCAGATTTAACTGCAAAGCTTAGGAATGTGTTAGCATTGAGACATGCATGCTTCTCTACACAACAGGGTGTGAATGCCTGGAACTTAATTCCACAGAACATTGTGGATTTGACAGAAAAACAGGCTCAAAAGGTATTAGCAAACTGATGGACAGCAGGTCCATAAACAGATGCTAAAGCACTAGGCAGGGATGTACCCTCTAAGATCCCTTTTCCGACAGGTGTGGGTGCCAGGGAAACAGGAGAATAGGCTGCAGAAGCTGACCAGGCTCACGTGCTCTCCCTAAACATTAATTCCTATTGCCTGTATTGGGGACAAAGTGGTGGGCTGTGTAGATCCATCCTACCCTTTAGGGTGTTCTTACACTCATTGGGGAAAGTCGCCTATTAGAGAACACCCCCTGAAATATTGACACTTGTCTCATACATCCTTCATCACAGTTTGATGGCAGCTAACTTGCTTTGAGAGGTGAAGTAAGTACCAGGTCTCCCATCACCTCCTTTTTTCACTAATTTTCCTAGTGAAATATGATCCTTATTGTGAAAGATTCTTTTTAATGATGTCTCTGGCCTGATTTGGGACAGAGTTGACCTTCAGGGATCCCACTAGCTATGGTGAGGGATGCAAGTGTTTCACCTTTCAGAAAAGGTAGCTGCATTTATTTAGCAGCATACCCTGTATTTGGAAAACACAATTTCACAAAAACACATCTGCACTTTTGATAGCAATATTTTGACGGAAGCTGTTACTAAAAACAAGCAATGCTTTTACTTTTTGCCACTTGTTTCAGATTTTGATTTTGAGAATGGTGTGGCTTTCAGATCTGCTAGAAATTGCCACATATTGCGAGGTGCTGGTCCTTTGCTGTCAGGAGGTCCAAGTACGCACAGAGGCGAGCAGTACTGCCATTTCTCAATGCATTACCCTGGCATGCCTCAATGTTCTGAAAACAGGTTTTTATTTTTGAAGAGTGACATTTAAAAAAATCCTCACAGTTTCTAAAAAACCTGTAAACTTTAGTATAACAAGGAGGAGGGGAAGTCTCTGCTTTGATAAGTTTGGGGAGGAAGTATTCCAAAGTTTCCATCTTTTGTAAATTATAAAAGGGAAATATTTGAAGCGGGTCCCTTGACAGTGTGCAGTGTGGAACAGATGGCACCAGGGCTGAAAGGTTAATGGTCTGGATCCTCACTCAGTGTAAATCTGCGCTACCGCATTGATCTGTGTGGAGCCCTGAGAACTTCGCCCAGAGCAGACTGCAGCTCTTGCAGGCTGAGAATCTTGTCATATTCAAAGGGAGTCTTTTCTATTGATTTTCACGGTGGCTGGAGTGGGGCCAGAAAAGCAGAGAATGAAGATGGGACATGCTGGGAAAACAAAAGAGGGAGAAAAGTGATTTAATACTTTAAAAAACAAAAATGAAAATTCTCTTCCATATCACAGAATCCTGAAATAAATGCTGTTCAGCTCCAGAGGATCCTGAATAATATATCTTGGAGAAGTAAGTGCTGAGAAATAATGTTTCTGTAAAACAAACCCTCTTAGAGAAATGCCTCAGCTACTGTATCTGTTTCTTGAATTCTGGGAAGAGAAACTGGCTTGAATCTGACTGAACTGGCTCTTCTGATGCCATGTTAGACTTCCAGAGAGAAAGGATTTGCTGGGGTGTGAATCAACATGGTAGAAATTTTGTAAGCGAAGCTAATCTAGTTTGAATTTCAACAACTGAAAGAATGAGGGGGAAGAGCAAGTGTAGATATTGTGTGTGGATGCAGACTCTGAATTTGACCTCCAAACCCAGCTTGACCTCAGCCTTGATTCTGAAACTATCTCATTTCACCCTGTGCCACTGCCACAGTCTTGGCAGCGCCACTGCTAGCAGGTGTAGAAAGTTAGCTTGGTCTGTAGGCAGTTAGGCAGTAGAAGGGGGTCTTGTCTTTACCTTGATGTGCCTGGTTCATGCCTGCTATTCCTATTTACTCTTCCCCACTATGCATACATAGGGCTGTTCCTTGTTCTATTTGTGTTTGGGAGACAGGATGGAGATGCAGGTAGCCTGTGTAACATGTTTGTGAGAACCAGGTGAGCCCTGAGGCAATCTCTCTCGTGAGGACTGTGACATCCACTCTGCCAGTGGCAGGCCAGAGGACCCCACAAACCTGCCCCAGCTTTCTTCACTCGACATCAGCCTGTGAACAAGCACCAGGTCTTCCTTGATGAGCGGGAAGTGACCCATGACTTCCACCTGGAGCCTGGTGTCTATGTGATTGTCCCATCCACCCTGGAGCCTCAGCAGGAGTCTGAATTCATCCTGCGGGTCTTCTCCAGGAAGCATGTTCTTCGGTGAGATGCTGCCGCCTCTCTGCCAGCACCTAATTCTCTGGCATGGTGGGATGGTCTGGTCTTTCTAGTCTAATGGGGCAGCATAAAGACTTCACCATGCAAAAGGCAGCACAATCTCTTTTGGAGAGGCTGGCTGTGGGTCTCTCCCAGCACAGGATGCTCAGTGGATGAAGCACTGCTTTTGGCCTTATCCTTTCAAGAAGCGTTGACCTAGGCCCACACAAGGGATTCCTGCAGCATGCTCATCTTTGAGACTGGAGAAGGACAACAGTTTTTAATGCACCATCAGTTTGCCAGGAGACACTGCTGGCAGTGCTAGGGTGGTTGCTTGTGCAGAAATCGTGCTTTGGAGACTTCAAATGCCAGCAGCCCCTGGGGAGCTGTGTGGACATGAGGGGTTCCCTTACTGCAGCTGTAACACTGGGGAAAAATACATATGCTGCAACAGTGGGTTGGGGCCCCTTCTGGGGATGGGGGATGCCACCTGTGATGAGACAAACACACAACTCTGGGATATCTCCTTAATGTGTCTGCTTTTTTACATCTCCAGGGAAATGGGTGGGAACACCAGTTTCACCCTCTCTAAGGTGAGTGAGTATGAGGGGAGTGGGAGGCCTGTGGTTTGGTCTTCAGCTCCAGGTGTTGGGTTTTTCCTGTTGCTCTGCCCTACAGAGAGGCTGAATGAGAATCTGAGTGCTTGTGTTGCAGCACTTTTGAAAGGGCAGCTTGTGTTTACAGGCAGAGTCCCTTGGACCATGTGGACAGATGCAGTCAAATGTGGGGGACGGGCAAATTTTTAGATGCCTTTGTTAGTTGCCTTTTTGCAAACTTCTTTTAGTGTGCCCCAAGAGCATCTTATGTGCTCTGCAGTCTTTCCTATTCATGGCTTTTGGAGACTTCTGATCCATTCACGCACTTCTCCCTGCTCCTTTTATGCCTTGAAAGTTTTGAAGACATCGTGGGACATGAGCAGTACTGTTCCCATGCAGCAGTCTATAGGTTATTTTCAAAATAACTGAGCTCAAGGGCAGTGCATGCACGTCTGCAACTTGTGCAAGGGAGTTTATAGCATAGTCTGTTCCCCTGGCATAAACAGGGCCCTTCCTTCTTTCATCTCCTCTGTTCTCCTGTATAAAGGAGGACAGAGATCCTTCTCTCTCTTCTTGGCATGGAGTGAGCCCCATCCTTTGTCGTTGCACAGCTTGGTGGGAGGGAAATGTTTCTCCCCACTGAGTGTTATCCGAGTATTTCTTTCAAAGAAATAGCATCTCTATGAGGTGGGGAGCTATCTTAGCAGCGGGCTGCGTTAGTGATGTAGCATTGATTGCAGTGATGGGGAGAAGGTAGAAGGGCAGGGGATGAGAGTGCAGTTCTGGGAAACATCTTTAGTAACTCTGTCTTGGATGGCAATATTTTTCTTCCTCGAGTTAATGATTTTTTTTTTTTTTTTAATATCTTAAAGGAAATTGTTGATAGGTATGAAGGCAAGATTTGGGAGGATTTCTTCACAAAGCGTTTTGAACAGGTACGTGTGTGCATGAGCTGCCAGGGTAAGCTCCTCCAGAGCTCTTATGTAGCCCTGAAAGTAAAAGCATGTGGATGTTCAAGGGGGGTCTGGACGTGGAAGCGCGGGGAACAGAGAGGGGCCACAGGAGGTTGGGCTGTGTGTACAGTGCTGATTCCATGCAGCAGATTTAACTGCAAAGCTTAGGAATGTGTTAGCATTGAGACATGCATGCTTCTCTACACAACAGGGTGTGAATGCCTGGAACTTAATTCCACAGAACATTGTGGATTTGACAGAAAAACAGGCTCAAAAGGTATTAGCAAACTGATGGACAGCAGGTCCATAAACAGATGCTAAAGCACTAGGCAGGGATGTACCCTCTAAGATCCCTTTTCCGACAGGTGTGGGTGCCAGGGAAACAGGAGAATAGGCTGCAGAAGCTGACCAGGCTCACGTGCTCTCCCTAAACATTAATTCCTATTGCCTGTATTGGGGACAAAGTGGTGGGCTGTGTAGATCCATCCTACCCTTTAGGGTGTTCTTACACTCATTGGGGAAAGTCGCCTATTAGAGAACACCCCCTGAAATATTGACACTTGTCTCATACATCCTTCATCACAGTTTGATGGCAGCTAACTTGCTTTGAGAGGTGAAGTAAGTACCAGGTCTCCCATCACCTCCTTTTTTCACTAATTTTCCTAGTGAAATATGATCCTTATTGTGAAAGATTCTTTTTAATGATGTCTCTGGCCTGATTTGGGACAGAGTTGACCTTCAGGGATCCCACTAGCTATGGTGAGGGATGCAAGTGTTTCACCTTTCAGAAAAGGTAGCTGCATTTATTTAGCAGCATACCCTGTATTTGGAAAACACAATTTCACAAAAACACATCTGCACTTTTGATAGCAATATTTTGACGGAAGCTGTTACTAAAAACAAGCAATGCTTTTACTTTTTGCCACTTGTTTCAGATTTTGATTTTGAGAATGGTGTGGCTTTCAGATCTGCTAGAAATTGCCACATATTGCGAGGTGCTGGTCCTTTGCTGTCAGGAGGTCCAAGTACGCACAGAGGCGAGCAGTACTGCCATTTCTCAATGCATTACCCTGGCATGCCTCAATGTTCTGAAAACAGGTTTTTATTTTTGAAGAGTGACATTTAAAAAAATCCTCCAAACATCACAGTTTCTAAAAAACCTGTAAACTTTAGTATAACAAGGAGGAGGGGAAGTCTCTGCTTTGATAAGTTTGGGGAGGAAGTATTCCAAAGTTTCCATCTTTTTTTGTTTGTAAATTATAAAAGGGAAATATTTGAAGCGGGTCCCTTGACAGTGTGCTTGATAGAACAGATGGCACCAGGGCTGAAAGGTTAATGGTCTGGATCCTCACTCAGTGTAAATCTGCGCTACCGCATTGATCTGTGTGGAGCCCTGAGAACTTCGCCCAGAGCAGACTGCAGCTCTTGCAGGCTGAGAATCTTGTCATATTCAAAGGGAGTCTTTTCTATTGATTTTCACGGTGGCTGGAGTGGGGCCAGAAAAGCAGAGAATGAAGATGGGACATGCTGGGAAAACAAAAGAGGGAGAAAAGTGATTTAATACTTTAAAAAACAAAAATGAAAATTCTCTTCCATATCACAGAATCCTGAAATAAATGCTGTTCAGCTCCAGAGGATCCTGAATAATATATCTTGGAGAAGTAAGTGCTGAGAAATAATGTTTCTGTAAAACAAACCCTCTTAGAGAAATGCCTCAGCTACTGTATCTGTTTCTTGAATTCTGGGAAGAGAAACTGGCTTGAATCTGACTGAACTGGCTCTTCTGATGCCATGTTAGACTTCCAGAGAGAAAGGATTTGCTGGGGTGTGAATCAACATGGTAGAAATTTTGTAAGCGAAGCTAATCTAGTTTGAATTTCAACAACTGAAAGAATGAGGGGGAAGAGCAAGTGTAGATATTGTGTGTGGATGCAGACTCTGAATTTGACCTCCAAACCCAGCTTGACCTCAGCCTTGATTCTGAAACTATCTCATTTCACCCTGTGCCACTGCCACAGTCTTGGCAGCGCCACCGCTAGCAGGTGTAGAAAGTTAGCTTGGTCTGTAGGCAGTTAGGCAGTAGAAGGGGGTCTTGTCTTTACCTTGATGTGCCTGGTTCATGCCTGCTATTCCTATTTACTCTTCCCCACTATGCATACATAGGGCTGTTCCTTGTTCTATTTGTGTTTGGGAGACAGGATGGAGATGCAGGTAGCCTGTGTAACATGTTTGTGAGAACCAGGTGAGCCCTGAGGCAATCTCTCTCGTGAGGACTGTGACATCCACTCTGCCAGTGGCAGTTCAGAGCACTCCACAAGCTTGTAATTTGGTCCCTAGTTATAAATAATGCTACCTGGGCAGCAGCGAGGTATTGCAGTGGCTGTTTTCTCTGAAGATTTAAGTTACAGATATAATGATGAATCCAGTTTTCCTTCCCAGTTTCTTTACTGGTAACAACCGATGTGCAACACAGAAAATACACCGTCCAGCCATTATAGGCAACAAAGAAGATGAACAAAAGACTGATATGATGCCTTTTCCACTTAAGCTGAATTTGTCATTGTTCCCTTTTCTACAAAGGTGGACAAGGATAGCTCTTCTGTCTTTGCAAAGTGACCCACCAGGCACTTAGAAGACTATGTTGAACAGAGAGTCTTTATTTTTCATAAGTTATCAATTTTAAGACATTAATTTAGAAACTTTACAGTACTTGATTCATATTTACTAAACAGGGCTATTAAAAGATTAAAACATCTTCACTTTCTGCAGAGAAGGGATTGGTGAGTTATGGTTCTGTCCCTTGCTCGGTGGAAGTCTACAGACAATCTATAATCATGATTTGCAGTGAGATTAGAGTCTATTTCTGTTACTCTTCATGTAACTTATGTATGAACCAGGAATGCTAAGTGTTGATGCAGCATCATGTTTTCAGTGATGCCTGTAATTTTAATTATATTAACAGAGCTGGCAGTGTGTCTGTGAAAGAGAGAGAGATGCTTAGCACAAGGGCTTCAATTAATCTGCAGTGCTGCTCCCCAAAGCTCTTCAGGTCAAGTGACTTTGCTCAAGGTCATGCAGTAAATTCTGTTTGGGATTACAGCTTTGGATGTCCTTTTACTTCCATTTTCTCTAATAGCTGGAGATAGTACACCATATTTCATTCTGTATTACATGCCTGCAGGGAGCTCATATTGGATTTTCTGAGACTAGTAGAATCCATCCTGTTGCCTCATATTTTTATCATCATAAATGATACATCTTCTCAAGTGGGTGTAAAGTTTCACAAAGGCTTTGGGGCCTGAGCCCTCTCAAGTGAGGGGGAATTTTGGGAGAGTCCATTTTTCTGAGACATGTTCAATGACTCCTCAAAACAATCTTTTTTTTTTTCCCTTCTTTTTTTTTTTTTTGTCTCTCCAGATTTCCAGAGTTTTTGCCTAAGTTTCAGTCTGGATGCCTGCCAGAGTATCTTGGCACTCCTGGATGTATCCTTGACGTGATTGATACTTCTGACTCATATACTTCACTGGAGCATTATTTCTTAGGGCAGACCGGGTGTTACTGTGATTTCTTTACCACCAGGACATGGTTCTGCTTATTGAACTTCTCACCCTCCATAATAACAGTTCAGTTGTGACAGAATGGAATTGGTTTGGGAAAGGGTTGATTCCTGCCGCCTCTGAAATCAGCAGCCAGGTTTCCATTGACTTTAGTGGGAGGAGGATCAAGCCTATAGATAGGCTCGTGGGCTAAGAAATCATTATCCTCATATTATAATTGTGTGAATGTTAGAGTGGCTATGAGGTTTTGGTTCGTTTGGTTTTTTTTATGTAATGGGCGCTCTCTGATGTTTAGTTGAGATGTTCTGACTTTAATTCTCCCACAAAGCTGAACGCGTCTGGCACACTGAGTATCCAGGAATTCAGAGTCCTGTGGAAAAGGCTGCTTTTCTATTTGGTATAACAATAATTTCTGTGTCCCCTTGCAATATCTCCCTGCTCATAATCCCTTTGGTGTTGTCTGTTGGTTTTTGGGGGGCTTTGTTTC